GGGTTAATTTTTTTTGTCCTCTTTTTTCACAATTTAACTTTAGCTCAATACTCCCATTTGGAAGTCTCGTGCTTAGATCTGCCTATCATTAGCACGTGGTGTAAGAGTGGATGGTTGATGTTCAGTTCTAACACTATGGATTCTCAGTAGCTCCCTCAATATGAACAATGAACTAGGCTGCTTCAACTCTTTTACTAAAAGATGAAAGTAATTATGTCAAACCTTAGAAGTATTTTAATCAGCTCAATACTCAGACCTTCAAAGTTAAATCTGCTCTAATAAATTGATCGATGATAAGTAGACATGAATGTGTAGATTTTCATTTGAAGAAACTCACAATTAAAGATTAGACGTTTCCTCTTGGCAGGCTAATTCAAAGTATTTGGAATTATTGAAACAGATTTGCATGGATGCGAAGATGCGTTCCAATGCTTTTGCAGCATATGGAGAATTAAGCAACTTTGGAGTTGGTTCACAACATCAGGCTTTCGTTGAGCAGGTATCACCCTATCTGCATTGTTAAATTTCAGTAGGAATATTGGATGCTTCATGAAACAAAAAGATCAATCATATTCTTGCTAAGTTTATTGATTTTGTCAGATAAGTCATCTCAATTGTTCTCTATTTTCCCCCTTAAGCTAATGAAGATTAAGCTTTAAGATTTAAATGGTGCATATGAGATTCAAATATTTAGACATCCCCTGGATACCGAAGAGCAAAATTGTTGCCTTACAGAAAAGATTGCATTAAATATTCATAATCCATGATTCTATGGTTATGTTCTATAATTTCACAGGTCTCTCTATTTTATCACCTTTCTCGACATTTCTAGTGCTTGAGGGGATATCCTCATGCTCACTTGGTAGCGAAATGTGGACAACAGTGACATGAAGTTGAAGTTATGACTGTTTCTGTTTTAACCTACAGTTAGTGTTGTGTGCTTAAATAGAAAAAAGACGAATGTAATGCTGTTGCATTCGGTTTGATCTCAACTTTTCCCTTACCATTTTTCCATCCCACAAACTACCAAACTCGACAAAGTACTGGTTGTGCTCCATGTTTGTAACTTGTCTTAATGGAGAAAGATTAGTCTGAATATGGTTATGAAAGACAACATCCTAATTTTTTCTTATTACGGTTGGATCATAATGTAATACAATTGTATCATAACGTATTCTTTAGATATTCCATTAGTGTTTACATTACTTGTTTTTATATCATGAGGTACAAATCTCCTTTAGAATTATATTAAATTGTAAATTATGCTTCCAGGTTCATGCCACACTTCCACGGCTGATTGTCCATCTTTATGATGATGAGCTCAGTGTCCGTCAAGCTTGCAGGGTAAAACAAGAGTTCTTACCACCCACTGTTTCCTACATTTAGAATAACTTACAAACTTCTTTCATGTTCTTAAACAGAATACCTTCAAACAATTGGTACCCTTACTGGAAGTCGATGGGCTATTTGCTCTCCTCAACAAACAATGCTTCAATTCAGATCGTCGGTGAGTATAGAGTGGCAAAGTTTGTTACTTCAGGTTTTCTTAATAGGAAGAGATCCCTAAGAATCTTTCACCATGTCTTCAGAAGCGACTATGAGGACTTTCTAAGGGACCTAACAAGGCATCTAGGTCATCATTTTTCTGCAAGAGTTAATACCTACTTAGCCTCTCTAATCCAGGTGAGCATATATTGGATATCCAGTTGCATGAAATTGCATGAAGTTGGTAATTTTTGTATATATACCCCTTGAGTTATGAGTATTTGCAAGACTATCCCTCTAAGCTTAGAATTTGCAAATCTAGCCCCACCCCTGGCAGAAAAAAGAAGAAAAAAGAAAAAACTTTGTTGGACATGTCAAGTAAACTTTGACCAGTTTATTGACATTTGCACATTGCAGTTACAAATTAGTCCATCAAAATTGATGAGCTGTAGATATTGGGGATATTTTCCCGTAGGTGATACTTTTGGGGGTAGTTTTGCAAATACGAGATTTTGGGGGTAATTTTGTAAATACACAAGATTTAAGGGTTATATATACAAAAACCCCAAATTAATCAGATTTTTTATTTCTTACCTAAACACTTGGTTCTTCAGGCATTTGATGCACCTTGGCCAGTCATACAAGCAAATGCCATATACTTCGCCAGTTGCATGTTGTCACTATTAGAAGATCAACGGTCATTGGCTCCTTATTTTTCACAGGTCTCTAAATTTGTACAGCTATTCACCCAAATGATTCTTCCACAACAGAAAGTATTGACATCTGGCTTTTCCTACAGGTGTTTGGGATGCTTGTAGTCAAACTGAGCCAGTCATCAGATGCAGTTGTGAGGGCAACTTGTTCATTTGCCCTCGCGTTTCTTCTGAAGTCCTCAAACCCGAAAACATGGACAGTTATGCAAGTTGATCGAGCTGACTCTGGAAGAAGTTCTCATGATTCTAGTATAAAGTCCATAGAAATTTGAAGTGTTGGGATTGTATGGATCTGGAAAGGTAAAAGAGCAAAGGCTTAGTACGAGATAGTGGAATCAGATTAGCGGCATTATGTGAATATCCAAGTTTCACTATGTACTGTGAGATAGGAAAATGTTGTGTTGTATCATTGTATCATAGTTTTTGTATATTGTACATGTACGCTCAAGTATAGTCTTAGAAAAGGAAAAATGAGTGTCGTCCCCGTTGAACATAAAGAATCTCCACATGTAAGTCTTGTGTGAAAACTTCACTTTTAGTGGTTGATAGATCTGTCGAAATCCCAGTGACTTGGATGCAAGTAATGTATAAATTCATTTTAATTATCCAATGTTGTTGTCAACATTACAGTATCATGGAGAGGTTGATATGTAAAAAGGTACGGTGAGAAAAATTATTGTAGCTTTACTTTGCCTGGTGTGCGTCATAACTGCAATGCTCCATTTGTGAAAGCTTATTTTCTGTAGAAGGGTTTGATTTTCAGTGACAGCTCCTAATTGTTGGTATCCCTAATTTGGGGCATTAAATACTTTATGCCCCTTCAACTTCTATTGCAAGGTGATACATCATTATTGAAGAGGAGTGAGTGGGGGATGCGATTCCTGTCTACAACTTAAATTTTTATTAGGAAAATGATTTAAGGACCCAAAATATGGGACCAATGGAGGGGACAAGTGAGGTGTCCCCTCCCTATTACATAATGAGTTGGCATGACCAACTCATTATGTAATAGGGAGGGGACACCTCACCAGTCCCCTTCCTTGGTCCTATATTTTGGGTCCCCGTAGCAGCATTCTTTTATTAAGCACCGTTTGATTGAGTTTGTATTTATTGGTTTCACGTTAGTGCTGCATAATGTTGTATGAATGCTTAAACGTAAACGACGAAGCTATATTCATATAGACGTGTTCTTAATCAGTCGAATTTTTATTGGATATTCTTTGGCTAATTCTATTATAATGGTTGAATTTTTAGTGGGTAGTCTACGATTTGTATAAATAATGTGATCTGCACTTATTAAAGATGAATTCAAAACTTGAGAAGGTAAAAATCTTGTACAGTTGCATTTGTTGTTCTAGATGCACTTCGGATTAATAAACAATCGAATTGAATTGTATTGTTTCGAATTGAGTACTAAAGTGTTCATATCTGGTTTTTTTTAATTTATCGAATTCAAATTCAAATTTGAATATACATTTGAGGTTTTTCAAATTCAAACTCGAATACTCAATATTTGATAAATATTAATGATTCATGAATTTATTGAAGTATATTCATTCTGTTAAACAATTTGATTTTTAATAGGAGTCAAATTTATAAATGAAAAATTAGTCCTATGTATATATACTTAATGAGAATATTTTACTAGAAAACTAATTTAAGACTATTTATGTCTCTCAAAATTAGAATATAGATTTTAAGTAGAAATGTTAAATGAGTTATAAATATAAAATTTACAAAATATCATGGGTTATAACTTATGAAATTGAGAATTTTGGATTCCACAAAATTATCTACCAATGGGTCGAAACGACTTACTGGTAAAAAATTGTTGATTACAGCTCATGAAAATATAAAATATGGCTATTACGAAATTATTTGCCAATAAGTCGAAACAACTAAAAGTGATAAAATTCACGGACTATAGCTCATAAAATCGTGAATGTTGTACTCCACGAAATTATTTACTAATTGGTCAAAACAATTAGAAATAGCCAAAAACCATTGATTATAACTCATGAAATCATGAAGTTTGTGCTCGGCAAGATTATTTGCCAATTGGTCGGAATAACTAAAATTGATTTGTGGGCTATTGTTCATGAAATTATGAATTTTAGACTGCGAAATTATTTGCTTATTTGTTGAAACGACTAAAAATGACCAAAAATCATGGGTAATAGCTTATAAAATCTTGAATTCTGTACTCCGTGAAATTATTTGCTAATGGCTCGAAATGACAAAAATAGCAAAAAATCGTGGGTTATATATCATGACTAAAATGGCCAAAATCATGACTTATGACTAAAATCGTGGGTTATAACTCATGACTAAAAATGACCAACAATCGTGGGTTATAACTCATGAAATCGTCAATTTTGAACTCTACCAAATTATTTGAAAATAGATTGAAATAAATAAAAAGGACCAAAAATCATGGGTAATAACTCATGAAATCATGAATATTTTATTTCGCAAAATTATTTACAAATGGGTCGAAACGAGTAAAAATGGCCAATAGTTGTGGATAAAATAGCTCATGAAATCTTGAATTTGGACTCTGTGAAAATATTTGCCAATAGGTTGAAATGAATAAAAATGACCAAAATTCATAAGTAATAGCTCATAAATTAGTAAATTTGAACTCCGTGAAATTATTATCCAGTGGGTCGAAATGAATAAAACTAGCCAAGAACGTGGGTAATGGTCATGAAATCATGAATTTTGACCATTGCGAAATTATTTGCCAATGCGTCGGAACAACTAAAAATGATTAAAAATCATGTGTTATAGCTCTTAAAATCATAAATTTTGACTTGTTGAAATTATATGCCGATGGGTCCAAACAATTAAAAATGGCCGAAAATTATTGATTATATAGCTTATGAGAGATCGTCGGCGACCAGTTTTTCGGTGAGAGCTCATCACGTGTGTGGCACGTCATAACTTAAACTATTTTTTAGATGCTGATGTGGCACAGATTTTCTGACGTGGGAGTGTTTAAAGGCGGGAATTAACCCTCTAGAAATCCCAATTCACCCAAAATAGGACAGATTCGACCAACTGTTTTATCCACGTCAGAAAATCCGTGTCACATCAGCAACTAAAAAACAATTTAAGTCATCACGTGCCACGCATGCGACGAGCTCTCGCCGGAAAACTGATCGCCGACGAGAAAAAGGTCATTGTTGGTAAGTTGAATCAATTAAAATACCTTAAAGCATGTTTGCCTAATTAAAATACCTTCTTGGTAAATGAGATGGAATTAAAATACCAATATGGGTATTTTGCCTATGAAAATATGTATTTCGACCATAGTGAAATTATTTGCAATTGTGTTGGAATAGCTAAAAATGACAAAAAATCATGACTTATAGTTTTTAAAATCGTGAATTTTAAACTATAAAATTATTTGCTAATTTTTCAAAATGATTCAAAATGGCACAAAAGGTGTGGGTAATAGCTCATAAAATTATAAAATTTTGAACTTTGCGAAATTATTTTCCAATGGGATGAAACAAATAAAATGGCTAAAACTCATGGACAAAATTATTTACTAGAGAGTCAAAACAATCAAAAAAGGTCAAGCCTTTGCAATGACTAAAAAATATGGGTTATAGCTCGTAAAATTATGAATATTGGATTATGGGAAATTATTTTGTAATAGGTTGAAACTATTTGCAAATAAGTGGAAACTACTAAAAATGGTCAAAAATCTTGTATTATAGCACTTGAAATCGTAAATTTTAGTCTCCATAAAATTATTTATCAATGGGTAGCAAAGATGAAAAATGTTTAAAATTTACGGGTTATAGCTAATGAAATCATAAAATTTTGCATCCACAAAAATATTTGTTAATAGGTGTTTTATTTTTTACAGCGTGCTTTGTAATAATGGAAGGGTTGATATTCTTTTTTCTTTTGTTTCATCTTATATCCTCCTTTTTTGAACGAAATGGAAGGAATGTCTGTTTAGATTTTTGAGTGCTTTAGTCGAAGCGATCTATTAATCAGGCAATTTTTTTGGGAACAAAGAGGGCATCTCTGAATACTCAAAGTTTCATATCCAAAGCAAGTTTTTAAGAAACTGCTAGAGTTTTAGCAAAAGCTGCTCTACGGGGTCGTATTGATTGGTTTAAGGGTCTGAAAGAAAATGTTGTTCTAGGGGGATGACAAAAATTCATGGGTTATAGCTCAAGAAGTAGTGAATTTTGAACTTTAAAAATTTATTTGCCAATGGGTCAAAATGACAGAAAAAACTAAAAGCCGTGACTTATAGCTCCTGAAATCATGAATTTTGCCACCGCGAAATTATTTTCCAATCAGTCAGAATGACTAAAAATGACAAATAATAATGATCGTTATAGCTCATGAAATCATAATTTTTGTACTTGATAGTTGTTTTTTTGCCAATGGATTGAAACAAATAAAAATGGCCAAAATGTTTAATATCTTTGAAATAGTGAACTTTAGAGTTCATAAAATTATTTATCAAGTGGTTCAAATGACAAAAATAGTTAAAATTGCAGGTTATTGTAAAACCCCAAAAATTTAAATATTTTATGAATAATAATAATAAATATGTTATATGGTGATAAACATCATATTTTGATATTTGAGTATGACATGAATTAACTTGAGATCAATTCAATGTATATTTGTGAATATACGAGTGCAAATGCATATCTGGTGATATGGTCAGTTAAAAGTTTATATGTTTTACATACTGATGCAGTTCGAATCTTAAAAGATCAAAGTTGTAGGACTCTTCAACAGCTTTCTAACAAATCTTAAATTACCTCATTCCAATGTCGGATGAAAAAGTTACAGCCAATATACTGAACACAGAAAAATGAACAGAAAATAGTCGGATTTCTTTTGTAAAGAAAAAGGCAATTTCCCTCATTTTTCCTCCACTAAGCAACATCCCACAAATTACTCCCATAAACCACTCCATGTTTTCCTCCACCACTACTCCATGTTTCCCTCCACCACTACTCCTTGTTTTTGGCTCTATGTCCCCCTAACTTCTCTATATATACCTCTTACTTCCTCTCTTCTAAAACACACAAAACTCACAAAGAGTAGAAGAGAAACATAGTGTTTTCTGTGACATTTGTGGAGAGGAAGCGGAGGCTAGCGACTGGAGTGAAGGGAATTCTCGCGCAATCGTTTGTTTGAGAATATCAGCATCATCGAGGCAAGATTATCTCTTACCCAAACCTTCCCAGTAATTAGTTAAAATTATAAGAAGTTTAAAGATGAGATTCTCATGCTTGAGCTAAATCTGTCATGTTAAAACAAGTTAGATTTTGATGATAAATTTTAATCAAATGCTAAAACAAAAAATATTATTTTCCTTAATGTTGCTATTAGATTTATGATCATGACCATTAGAAAATTTGGAATTTATTTCGTTTATTAATCATATTTAAATCATGTTGAAATATTAGAGGAATAATCGTTTATATTTCGCATGATTAGTAACGATGCTTAAAACATAGGTTTGTGATTTTTCCTAAATAAATGTGAATCTGATTAAATGAAATATTTCCTCTGTTTTTTTTGTGTGGATCTTGTCATGTGTAATTAATCACTTTGATAGTTACGTGTGAATTCAAGAGAAAGACATGATCATTTGGCTAACAACACGTTCTGCAGAAAATTGTAGCATGTATATGATATTAAACTAAAAAT